AACTTACTTAACGAAGTGCACTAACGAGAAGGCAAGCCATAGTACTTTGCACTCCATCCGTGAACTGTCATGTTGCCTAAGGTTAGCCCTCCATTTCTGGATTCTTTCCAGAAGATAAAAACCACTGAACTCAAATGTGGTAAAAAAAACTATTGGAACATAACAATAAAAGAAATAAGATTAATATATACTGTAACATAATTCTAAATTTACATTAAATAAAACCTCGCAATCCTAGCTACAAAGAATAAGATCACCTTTTTCAAAATCTATTAATAAAATAAATAACCATACTTCATCAGGTTCATTATCATACTTAACAAGGTATGTAGTTCTTCTACCGTTTAATTGATCAATTTGAACCACTTGCCCACGTTCCCAAAATACTTCATGAGCATCTTCTTCTCTAACACGATGTTGTATAGAAAAACCTACAAAATCAGATGGATTGTTAATAAATTTTGATAAAGAGTGCTTTTTTTGTTGCTCTATTAATTTGTTTAGTCTTGCATCCTGAATTTTTTCCATTAATTCTTTTTTTTTTGTTTTCAACAGCTGCATCAGGCATTGTACGAGGCTTTAAATTATTACTTATATTATTACTTAAAGATTGTTTGTTTGGTGTTAAATTTGCTTGAATAACAATAAGAAGATTTTGATATAATTCCTCTGAAGACAAGTTTATTCTTTTGCTTCCTTCTACCTTTGTTTTACAAAAAAGTTTTTTGTCACATTCGACACCTAAGATTGTGCGATAAAAATTAAGTTGAGCTAGGAGTACTTTTGATTTCAATGGCTCTTCTATGTTAAAAACTGTTTTCTCTGCTTCCTCTAATGATATCCAAGCCCTTACATTTGAATTTATCAAATCATTACAAGCTGCAACCTTTTTATGTTACAGTTTAATTTCTTCTCGATTTTTTTCTTCTTGCTTTGCTAGAAGGTGCATAGCTTTATCTTTTTTAAGAGCTTCTTTTCTTTCATCATATTTGCTTTTCATTAATGTTACTTTAGTTCTTGAATATTCAAGCAATTGTTTTCTTTCTTCATCTGATTTACCATTAAGCCATTCTAATGTTTGGTTCTGAGACCACATTGTCAAAGCCTGGATAGTTTGAACATTTGCATTGGGTTTTGTGCGAACCATTAAATCCAAAATGGCAAAGTCGCTTTCTGATGCTTTATTAGTGACAGGGACATTAGAAGCAGCTTCAGAAACAGAATTAGATGGATATGAATTAGATGGATATTTACCACCTGGTAACTGATCAGCACACTGACGTTCCAAAATAACAAGAATCGCATGGAAAATAATTTCAAGTGATTGAACAGTTAAAAGTTCAATCACTTGAAATTACTTATAGTTTTCCATTAGCAAACAATAAAGAGGACGCATCGATACAAAGAGATGAAAGTCTAACTTTCAAGCGAAGTAGGTAGGGGTTTAAAAATAATATACTATCAAGTGATTCGATAATTCTCCACATTGGACCAGTAAATAGTTTGTCAATAATACCTAATGCACGGACTTCAGCAATGAATACAAGATTTGTGATATCTTCCTTAATTGCTTTTAATAAATTATTAGGGTTAGGCCAAGCATTAAGAAACTCTGTTATAGAATCCTTATGATAGTATAGGGCAGCTGCATTGTAATATAATCGATTTCCAATAAATGGAACAAAAGAAGATTTATTGTTACGAGAGGAAAGAAAAAAATTAAAGCATGATGCAACACCAGCTTCCTCACTACCCCTTGAATGAAATGCCTTACATGTAGTACGAACTAACCGTACAGCACCACATTCTTTACCACTAAAAGCAAAAACAGTTTCAAAATCATTTTGAAGCAGAATTTTTTCAAAAGAATTTAAAACTTTATCCGTTTCAGAAGCAAAATTAGCGAGCAAATGAAGTTTACAGAAAAAATTACTCATGTCCTTCATATTGTCTTTGACGTTTGAGGAAAGAAAGTCCCAGTTACTAATTGCAATAGGCAAAAGTTTTTCCCTTAATGTTTTTAACTGTGAGTTAAAAAGAGGATTAACCGAAGAAAGATCAGACATTGTTGATTTTATTGATGTTATTAGTTTAGCAAAATTAATTTCTTTTTCAGTGGCTGAGTTGCTAACAACGTCACAAATGCCATCTACTATATTAGTAAAGTTTTGCAAAACAGTTGCTGCATCTTTGCCAACCACTTCTGACAGACCAAAAAATAAAGTTTTCCCACTAGTTGTAGTAATTTGAAAGTTTTGATAATGCTCATGGTATTTCTGAGTACAATCACCATGCAAACAATTGCCTTTTTTAGAGTTTTTATTTATCAAATTATTTTCAAGCATTGCTTCTGCAACTTGAAATTGACCTAAAATTGAAGCTTCCTGCATTAACCTACATTTTACAGCGGCTGATGGCAGTCTAGATATGTTCTTTTTGGCTAGTTTGTTTAAAACTACTTTTATGACTTCATTGACACTATTCATACTCACGTTCATTGAAAGAAGTTTCATTATTGTTTCTCGAATGTCATCACTGTATCTGCCATCTTCAAATGTTATTACTTCGTCATCATCCAGCAAAGAAACCAATTTTTGAAGTTCTAGATTCTCCTCTTTTAAAATGTTTGTCTTACTATATAACGAAACAACTTCTTTCTCTAAACTTATAACATCTTTCATATTGTTGTCATTAATATAGTTGGTTTTATTTTGCAAAATAATTTATAAATTACTAACTTTTTTTTGCAGCTTTATTTTTTCATTTTTTAATTCAGAAATGTTTATATCTGAGTTTTCAAGAATTGAATTAATATCTGTTATTTTATTTTTTAATTGCAATATTATTTTTTTTCTTCATTTTTTAACGAATTTATTTTATTCTTTTTTATTTCCAGCTGAGTATCACGATATTTTATTTTTTTATTCAAATTTCTAACATTAAATGATTCTTTTTTTGACTTTAATAGCTCTAATTTGTTTTCAATATTATTAAGCTTTTCTTCTTTTTCACAATAACACTTTTTAATAAAGTTTAATTCAGCTTCTATTAGAGAGTTTTTCGAAATAATATCAGAAAAACTTGCCACAGGTGGAAAAAAGGCTTCACCTAATAACAATGCTAATTTTTAACTTTTTCGTTGTTTCTTTAATTTTCTGATGGTGTCAACTAATCTATTTATCTTTTTTGCTAAAGCTTTCTTGCAGCAGAACAGTTCAACTTTAAAATCCAAACAATATCTACAATATATTGCATCATAAGATGTATCTTTTAAAGCCAAATATCAATCATAAATACTTTCATTTATCATTTTATCTAAATAAATAAAGATTATCCAGTCATCAATTCGAACAAATATATAAACATATAAATATATTATTTCAAAGTCTTTTACTTATTATATATATATATATATATATATATATATATATATATATATATATATATATATATATATATATATATATATATATATATATATATATATATATATATATATATATATATATAAATATATTTATATATATATATATATTATATATATATATATATATTATATATATATATATACATATATATATATACATATATATATATATATATATATATATATATATATATATATATATATATATATATATATATATATATATATATATATATATATATATATATATATATATATATATATATATATATATATATATATATATATATATATATATATATATATATATATATATATATATATATATATATATATGTACGCGGATATCGCGATTTACGGAACCGATTTTTATGCTAAAATTTTGGTTCTCGTTTTTTTATCTCTTTTTTTAGGCAGCGTGAGGCAGACTTAATTTTGTGGAGTTTCTTTTTAGAAACAGATATACACATAGATACCTTTTGGAAAGAAGAAAAGCTAATCTTGCTTTATTTAATAAATTTATGTATTGTTATTACACTTTTTTGTTGATTATTTTGCTTTTGAATATTTGGTTGATGTTCTCACATGAATTTGTAGTAGAAGAAATGTTGATCCGGTTTTTTTTTTATTCAGATAATTTTCTACATGCATTTTCTATGCACATGCCAAATTTCAATGAAAAATAATTGGTAGCAGATAGTTTAAAATGTGTTATATTACGTATACCACTTATTTTAGGTAGCTTTAGGCAAACGTTTTTTTGTGTGTTTCTTTTAAGAAACATGTATAAACATAAATTATTTTCATAAAGAAGAAAGGTTGATCTAAATTTTTATATGACTTTTATGTATGGTTACCCAACATTTTTATGGATTATTTTGCTGACAATATTGCATGAAAATTTTGTCCCTGTTCTCACAATAATTTGTTGTCGAAGGAATGTTGATCCGGCTTTTTTTGTTAGTTTTCCTATATTTTACATGCATTTTCTCAGCACCTGTCAAAAATCAACGAAAAATAATTGGTAGCAGATAGTATACTTAGTGTTTGACTTTTGGTACATAATTTTGGTTTTTCTGTTGTTTTTTTCGTTAAGCTTATTACGGGGGTGGATAGAGGGGCCTATACAAAAAAAAACAAATCCTAATATCGTTCGTATTATTTTGATTTTTATTGTTAGATTAAAATAAAAAATGAATTCTTACAGAAGTTTTATTGAATCTATAACATATAGTAAGTTTAATTTTTTTTATAATGATGTCAATAATAACTATTTAAAATCAAAAAATATTCATAAATCATTTATGAATATTTTCTGATTTAAAATTCTTTTTTATGTAACATATAATTTATCTGTTTTTATATGATATAAAAACAGATTAATTCTTAATCTGTTTTTATATGTTACATAAAAAAGAAGATTAATGCTTCAATTTAAAACTTTGCTTTTGAATGTATTGTTAACTAATAGTATCTGTTGTCAATTTTATTATGACACAACATACAAATCAGATAATTCATTGGTTTATTCCTTGCAAAAGACTTGTTAGTAATTTTCAAATATAATAAAACTTATCATCATATTATCATTTTTAATTATTTTTGGATTGTATACTTGTGTGTATAATGTATTGTATAATGTGGATTATTATTTAAATCATAATACAAGCATGCCTAATGTTTACATGTTGTTTAGATCCTGCTGCACATTATGAAGCCTTTTTAAGATGTCGTAAGTATAAATCGAATATTTTATATATAACCACAACCAATATAACCTAATTAATATATAAACAAAGTGAATAACCATTCCTAATGTTAGCTTGTTGTTTATTAATATATATTCAATAACATTTTCAATGTTAGCTTTCATTATGTTAATACAGTTGTTGCATCTTCCACAGAATTATGATTTCTTTCTTTTTATAGTGTTTTGTTGTAATTATACACTTTTTTTTGTTATTTTTAGTTCAATCTACCCAGCTTATTTTGTTTATTTTTATTACTTTTTTATCTTTAGCAACATCTTCATCTGCAATGAGTGGTAAGTTAAGCAATTATTAATTTTTAATTTTTGCATTTCTTAACACTTCCAAATTTATTTTTTACTAAACTTTTTAGCTCTAGTTCCATCCTCAATTGCATTGAGTGGTAAGCTTAAAAATATTTTTATTGCATCCTTCAAAAAACCTATGCATGTATGTATGTATTTCGGATCAATTGCAATATTTCTTTTTTATTACATTTTTTTTTAACTTAGTTCCATCTACATCTGCAATAATTGGTATGTTTACAAACTTTCACTTTTCAATATGTTTATGCATTTCTTGGCAATCACAATATTTATTTTTACTTCAGCTTTGTTAACCTTTAGTTACATCTTCAGCTGCTACAAGTGGTAAGTTTATAAACTATTATTTTCTAATATGTGTATGCATATCTTATCGATAGCAAGTAAATTGTAATTTTATTTTTAAAAAATATTACCTTGAGTCCCACAACCTCCACAACAACTACAGATTTAGGGTCCAGTACCCTAGACCAATTAGTAATCGGTCATTTTTGCGGTGGGTCCGGTTAGGAGAGAAAAATGGTGAATCATTGAGCTGGGTCAATCATCCTCCTAACAGGGGTGCTGGGAGCTACGGCAGAAGAGGAAGCTGTGGAGGAGGTTGTGGGCAAAGACGGAATGGTGGCGGCCTTGTCGTGAATGGTGGGATCCACTATTACTAGGCACCACCATGCCTGTTTTTTTTTTTAAATAAATTTATAACATTATCAAGTTTGTTTTCCATTTTGTCCCAATTTTTACAATTATTAACATTTGATTTATTTATTTTAAATCTTTCACAAAATAATTTAAAAACGAAGCATTGACAGGTGTAATAGTTTGCAAGGGATTTATTTTGTATGTTTTCAATGCGATTAAAAGTTGTAGTGTAGAAAGTATTAAAGTTGTAACTATAAATAGTTATAGACTTTTTAATGCGTTTAAGATTTTTTGAGGTTATGAGTTTTTGAGGTTTTCTCATAGCACATATTAAATGTAGTTTCAAATTTATATGTAATGTTTTATAGAGTTAATAAATGTTAAATATCTTTGCATACCTAATTACTATTCTTTATTTTATTTTAGTTTATATACTGTTTTTTTGAGTTAAGAAATATTATTTGATTATAGACCAGTTTAATTGTTTGATTTTAAACCAGTTTAACTTGTTTACAGTTCCTAAATATTATATTTACGAAACCATTACTTGTTTGTAGAAGGTATGTATGAAATTTTTTTGTACATGTTTTATTATAATGTTATTAATAATTAACAAATTTTTATATATTGTTTGTTTACTTTTCAAAGAGTTTAATTAAAACTATGGTATTTAACTCTTTGTATATATATATATATATATATATATATATATATATATATATATATATATATATATATATATATATATATATATATATATATATGTATATATATATATATATATATATATATATATATATATATATATATATATAAATATATACATATATGTATATATATATATATATATATATATAAATATGTATATATATTTATATATATATATATATATATATATATATATATATATATATATATTTATATATATATATATATATATGTATATATATATTTATATATATACATATATAAATATATATATATATTTATATATTTATATATATATATATATATATATATATATATATATATATATATATATATATATATATATATATATATATATATATATATATATATATATATATATATATATATATATATATATATATATATATACAAAGAGTTAAATACCATAGTTTTAATTAAACTTTTTGAAAAGTAAACAAACAATATATAAAAATTCGTTAATTATTAATAACATTATAATAAAACATGTACAAAAAAATCTCATACATACCTTCTACAAACAAGTAATGGTTACTATATATATGTATATATATATATATATATATATATATATATATATATATATATATATATATATATATATATATATATATATATTAGGAATTATTGGTTC